CTTCGTACTCCAAGCCTGTGCTCTCTCTCAGGCTGCCTGGTCCAGCCTTGTCATGTTCCACCTCTGCTAGGGTTCAGTCATTTGTATGTGCTCAGGCGCTCTGGGAAGAGGTCTCTGCCTTCTGTGGTGATCTGAGTGTAGAGACATGTTCCATGGACATTAGGGAATGGGTGAACAAACCTGGATTTATCCTGCTCTGGCCCTGTGCATAAGCAGGTGATGTCACCAGGAAGCAGCAGGAATCATGCTTAATTCAAGAATGCCACAACTAGTAACCAGCTATAGAAATGATTTCTGAAAGTCTAGTTTTAAGAATGCCACAACTAATAGGCCACTTTTTATCCATCTGCCAAGCTGAATGATGGTGTTTGGGTGACTCATGGGGGGGATACATTTGTGGACTCTGTGATAATTCATCTGCTTCTCTTCTTCCATTGGTCCCTCTTTGGGAACAAGCCCTATTTATATCTAGAGACTGGAATGGAGAACCTCCCTGGCTCCTTTGCCCTCCTCACAGTTAATTATTTTTCAAAGCCTTTTGATTCCAATTTGTACACATTTTCCCTCTGCCTTCCCATGCCTATTGCCCTCCCTATTACCCTATCTGCCTCTGGTTCACGATCACAGACGCCCCTCCCCCATCACTTTGGCTCAATTGCAGCTGGAAGATCTGCTACGCAGCAAATTCCACCACTCTGTTTTGTGAGCTCACAAGGGCTTCCTGTCCAGTTGCATTTGCTTCAGGCTCTAGCCTGAAGACATCACCTGTCCTGTGCTTGCTCTTGGCTCACTCTCTCTATGCTCACAGGAACTCCCTATGCAGGGGTCTAACCTGCTCTTTCCAGGACTCACCTCCTGGTCCTCCCCTCCCTCTGCCCCACATTCCTCCTCAGGAATGTACTCGGGTACATTCCTTGTATTCGGGTGAATCAGGTTCTCCTTTGTGGTCCCTCTGCTTTTGGCCCCCCTGGATTGTGGCCTTTACCTGCCACTGAACAGTGTCTGCCTAATCTCTAGCAAGTGTCCAGCAATATTTGCTGAATGGTTATTTGCCCATGAAAGAAATCTGTGATTTCTGTAATTGGCCAATTAGAGAGGGGTTCTGGCTATGCAGTCTAAGCTGGTTTCAGATGTTTTATCCTGCTCCTCCCCACCCCCTGCTGTGATTACAGATGTATGACACATGCGCAGCTAAAACTGATGGTTCTAAAAAATAATTGTGGACTCTGAATCCATGATTTCAGTCGGCTATGAATGAGAAAGTTCTGAGCAAATGTATATCTCTGCTGAGCATATGCAGACTCCTATCATTGCGTAAGCCGTAGGACGTAACAAGCATTTCTGTAGCTCTAGGCATTATAAGTAGCCTGAGATGGTTTAAAAGGTAGTGGCGTGTGTATGTGTGTGTGTGTGTGTGTGTGTACATGTGTATGCATATGTATGTGTGTGCATGTGTATACATATGTGTGTGCATATATGTGTACGTGTGTGCATGTGTGTGTGCGTGTGCATGTGTGTGTAGGTTAGATGCAAATACTATGACCTATTTATGGGCCTTGGATGCCCATGTGCTTTGGGACTGATCCTCTTTGGGTAGCTGGGGACAAGCGTTTCTGGAGGATTTACTGCTGTCAAGTCCTGTGTGAAATCCTGAGGATCCTCAACAGGAGCAGGATTTTTGCTCTCAGAGACAAGATGGATCACCAGTGGCACCTTCAGATCTCTGGTTACACCCTAACTCAGGGCAGAGTGGGTGTCCACTCTGTGTTGGTAGAATTAATGCCTGGAGCTTCTTTGTTGAGTGACAGACAAACCTCCTCAGGTTCCTTTCTGCCAGTGGGTTTTTACTCTCTAGTTTTAAAACAGCTTCATTTGGAACTTCGCTATTCAAGTTAACGGGAAGTGAGCCAGCATGCTCGTGTTCACTGATTAGCTAGGGCAGGTCCTTTGACATTTGAGGATCCTTTTTCTTTTGTCTCTTCTGTATCTATGATGCAGGATGGTGACCCACTTTGTCAGAGGGAACTGTGAAGCATTATTGACAGATATTGGGGTTCAACCTTTTCTGAAGGTCAGAAAAGCAAAACAGCCAGCCACTGGCTCTTGGCGGCCGTTTGTAGCATAATTAAAAAAACTGAGAGACAGATACTGAGCAAAGCAACCAAGCCACTAGAGAACTTTTACCTCTTAGAGAGCTGAGCCTCAGAAATGTGACTTGTTCAAGGTGTCACAGGCAAAGGAACAGCTTGGACTTCAGTGACTCTGTTTTATTTTCCATTACTGGGAACAGAGCCTGTACCTTGCCTACGGTAGGCAGATTCTCTACCACAGAGCTGATCTACCTAAGTACCCTTAGTGTGGTGATGTGGGAAGCCAGCGTTGCTGCTGTCTACCGCCCCCTGAAGGCTGTCCTAGGACAGCATGTTCAGAAGCATCTGAGAGCTGATGGTGGGGGACTTAAATAGCAAGACTTCACCTGGAGATGGACAGAGTGCACATTTTTTACTTAAGTGGATGTGGGGGTGGGTCTTAATTTCTATAACACCTTTCTGTGTAATCTAGAGCAATTTTTCCTACTTGAAGTTCAGCGCATCTCTGTACAGTGGGGATAAGACCTGTCTGATGTGAAGGTCATGTGGCATGAAGGTCACATGGCTTAGCATGGCATCTTGCATACAGTAGGTGCTTACATCACCAAAATACAGTGACATAAAGAACATATAGGCTTTTTTTGTGCCACCTGTGCCCCCTTTAGATGAATATAGGAGCCAAAGAGGAGAATTTCTGTTTTATCTTCAATAGACTGTAATTCTGAGGTCTCTAGAGACCCCACACCACATTGGCCAGATGAAACAAGGTCACTGACGTTAAACCAGCAGGTTTATAGATTTGGGGGAACCCTTTGGGGCCATCCAGTACAGAAGAGGAGCCAGGAGCCAGAAGGAGAAGCAGTTGGTGGAGGCGGCCCAGGGGCGTAGTGTTCTGCTGTGGGTGTTCAATGTGGACACTGCCAACCTTTAGAGCAGGGAGATTGCTCTCTCCTACTCTTAGGTCTTCCCTTTAGTCTGGCCAAGTGGATAGGAGACTGTGATGTCACAGAACTGACAACTGGGAATGGGGGTGACAGGGGTTCTGGACAGGACCACAGTTCTGGGAGGAGGGGGCCGCTGCTGACCTATGCAGTGGTTTGTTTCACTGCCCAGTATGTGTTAGGTTGTTAGAAGAGAATCTCTTGTCCTTGGATTAGTGGGCCAGCTAGGATGTGTTCTTCTGAGACAGCTGGACCTACTACTGTGTAGACGCAGGTGTAGGCCCTGGCTACTGTCCCATCTCCTCAATTTTCTGTGTGAGGCCACCTGGACACCTTTCATCTTCATGGCTTCTGCTGTTGTCCTAGGTCAGACATCTTTCTTTCCATAACTCAAAGACATATCGCCCTGGCTGAGCCAGTCAGAGCACAGGGCACTCAAGAAGATACAGCAGGGAAGGGGATGGAGTTCAGGTCAGCTTTGCCTTGTTCCATGCACTCACTATTGCGTAGTCACTGGGGCGCAGTATCAGCGCTGAGCATTTCAGTGGGTTAGGCACTGCCCCGTCTCGTGTTCTAGCTAAGGTTGTCTTCCACCCTGGAGGGAAGGTCTGTATTGCCTGCTACGACCACTTCAATTCTGTCCTGGCCTCTGTTCTGTCAGGAACAAGCTCGGAACCGGATGGAAGATTGTCTACACTGACGGGACTAGGCCCATTGGACAGCTGGCTTTATCTTCATCTGAAGGTCACACTTTAGCACCCGTGTCTGTTTAATCTACAGTGTAAAGTAAAATGCTCCCAGGTTCCAGGAAATGGAGGAGAGGCGGCCTTGGTTTTAGGCCGTTTTGCCCACCATACACTTTAAATACTTGTATCAGGAAATGAAAAGAATGAAATAAATTCCCAATTCAAGAATCAAGAAAAAACACGTGACTATTGAGATGGCTCAGTAGGTAAAGGTGTTTGCTGCCAAGCCTGATGACCTGAGTTCAATCCTCGGAACTCACATCATGAAAAGATAACCAATTCTTGCAAGCTGTACCCCGATCGCCACTTGTACAACCTGTCCTGCCCCCTCTCAATAAACAAATAATGGAATGTAATGAAAATCAAAAGATAAATACAATAAAGTAATAAAGATTGTCTGTGATTGAACCCGGAAATCACACAAGAGCCGAAGTAACAAAACCAAGCTAATAAGTCTTTTGGAAAAAAATTACAAACCAACAAAGTGGAAAAATTTGTTTAGCAAGAACTGAAATCTAACAAGTGACTTTTGTTTTTATTTCTGTAGTATTAGGGATCAAGTTTAGGCCTTCTGCATGCTGGGCAAGTAGCCTGTCAGTGAGCTCCACACTAAATACCTTCAGCAAGCAATCTATATTTTACTCATGTGATGCCCTATGTGCACTGTATCTCCTGATACCACCCATTAGGGAGGATACCATACTCCTCTTGGGCCATTCCTACCCCAAATGGGAACCTTGACTCTGATCTAATAGAAATACCAGATAAATTTAAACAGAGCACTTGAAATATGTGAAATTCGTGATGACTGCATGGAATCCATGGTCTTGGGTGAGAGAGCTCTGAGGCATTTTGGGTAATCAATGACATTTGAATAGGGTGCTCTTAGTATGAGCAGCTTTTGTTTTGGGCCCTGCTGGAGTTAAAGGAGGACACCCTTTGTCTATAAGAATAGCTCATGAGGATTTAGGATGGGGGCTGGATTCTCTCAGATCATTCAGAAAAAAAGATAATAATTATAAAATGAACAGGGAGATGTGCAAAACACTGATGAATCTGAAAGAGTTTTTCTTTTCATCTATTTTTTCTATTAAGACTTTTCTATAAATTTGAAATATTTTCAAAAGCTATTCACAAAGTCAAGTATTTAGAAGTGACAATATAAGAACAGATAGGATATTTCTAAGGTGTGGGGGAGGGACAAAGAGGAGGGACACATCCTCTGATGCAACCAAGGACTTTAATGCAGGCAGCCCCTCCCTGGGCTGTGTCAGGAGCTGCAGTGACTCTTGTAGGCACAGGGATGGCTCAGACCTCTTCCCTCCTCTGGTGGAGTTTCTGAATCAGTCTTCATGAATCCTGTCCACTGCCTTCTTCATCCTCATGGAGACCCTCCAGCAGCTGCACAGCTCAGAGCCCCTGGGATACTGCCACTAGAACCCTCATGGTCTCCCAATGAGGCACGGCTGGAAGGTCCAGTGTTCCTGGCAGTAGCGGCTTAGATTTTTTTTAGGGTATCCTGTTTGTATGTTGTATGCAGTCAACTCTGAAAGAAGGAAAGCATGCTGGTGGGTGAAGCGCCTTGAACTGGACTCGGATGGACTGCTGTGTCCCTCTGGGACGGGCTGCTGGGACTGTATCCCTCCCCCTGGGACGGGCTGCTGTGACTGTATCCCCCTGGGACGGGCTGCTGTGACTGTATCCCCCTGGGACAGGCTGCTGTGACTGTATCCCTCTGGGACGGGCTGCTGGGACTGTTTCCCTCTGGGACGGGCTGCTGGGACTGTTTCCCTCTGGGACGGGTTCTCAGATTCCATGAGCTCTCTGGGAGCCCAGGCACACCCCAGCTTAGTAAATCAGGCATGGTATTGTTTTGCATGGTGGAGTCACAACAGAAAGTCTTGCAAGGAAACAGAGATCTTGGGCATGGATGGCGTTTCCTGGTACAAAGTCCCTTTCTAGTGTGGATCTCAGCCTCCTCGGGCATGGAATATCAGAAACGGAGGGATTGGTGAGCCAGTGAGACCCTCAGCTAGATTCAGATAGAAAGGTAGGCTATTGTAGGAAAATTTACCCTTCAATGGGCTCCCGTTTGCAACAAGGGATTGAGTGACAGGTGGGGAGATGTAAGTGATCCTGATCTATCTGTGGTCCCTGGGGCATGGCGAGCTTTGTGAGGCCATCTGGGCACAGGATAACTTTCCTTCAACACGACTGCCTTTCTTCTTCATGGTGTGTGCTACTGAACTAGGTTGAACATTAGTTCTTCTTTGACGCAAAGACATGTCATCCCAACTGAGCTATGCTCAGTTCATTAGCGTTTTCAGATATTGCTCATTTGACCTGCGCCTGGCTGGGTTTGGGGGATATCAGAAAACAAACCCAAGGTGGACCTACCAGTCTGGAGCTCAGTGTGTAGCCCCCAAAGTAAAGATTAAGCAGTGTCACACAAAATACACATTCCAGACCACACTGTGGTGCCCAGAAGTGTGTGTGTGTGTGTGTGTGTGTGTGTGTGTGTGTGTGTGTGTGTGTAGCTCCTCCCAGAGCCGCTCCTTCAAATACAGTGTCTAGCATGGAAAATAATGAGCTAGGCCAAGTGCTGTAGGAGGCACAGCGCCCTCTGGAGTGTGAACAGCTAACTCACATACCTGTAGGGTCTGGCCATCAGGACAGAGACCCCTGCCCTGAGGCCAGTGTCTAGACCTCACTCGGACTCACCTTCAAATTCGCTGCTGCTGGAAGAGAATGTCTTTTCTTGTCCAGTGAGGAACTGTGCATTAGTGTACTTGAGATTTGGTTTGTTTAACTCATTCTTCTGAGACTGTGAACCTGACAACGAGAATTCTGTGGGTGTCATGTGGGAAGTCGTGGCCAATCACAGACGTGAGGGCATTCAGCCGACAGAAGCAGCGCACAGGAGAATGAAGGATACTATGGGATGGGGAAAGTTTCAAACTTCCTCCTTTAAGCAGCTGCTGAATTTAGAAATACATATTTTCAAAGAATCAATGTTTTTCTATTTTTAAATGCAATGCATATCCATTACAAAAGGAAAAATGATCCAACTCCTCTCCTCCCAGATACTATCTTTACCTAAGCATATTTTAACATAGTTCATCAGATTGTGTGTTCTATGTATGTGATTAATTTTCTTCATATAAACATTTTTTCCCATGTCACTACATTAAAGTAATAATTGGATAGTATTTTCTTTTATGGATAATTCAAGATTTATTTATCCAATGGACTATTGTGTGTTTAGACTTTTTTCTAATTTTACTACTGCAGAGACAGGCATGAATTGTATTTAAGCCTTTATGTATATCTAGAATAATGACAAAGAACTTCAGAGACAGGTGAAGGTCTCGGGAGCAGGGGTAACAGCTTTGACACTAGATGTGTAACTCAATAAATCGCCTCTACTCATACCTGCAACAAAATAACATGGTTTGCTTTGGATAGTAGTGTCCACCTAGAGCTGCAGTGTAGACAGAGAAATGGAGGTGGGGGACCCACCTAGAGCTGCAGTGTAGACGGAGAAATGGAGATGGGGGATCCACCTAGAGTTGCAGTGTGGATGGGGGAATGCAGGAGGGGGATCCATTAGAGCAGCCGTGTAGACGGGGAATGCAGGAGGGGGATCCACCCAGTGCTGAACAGCTGCACAGAGGTGTGGGTGTACTGGCGAATCATAGTTCGCACTTCACTGGCATCGTCAGCGGAAAGGGAATTTGTATTTTTAAGATTTTGCTCTTCAGCTGGACAGTGGTGGTGCGCGCCTTTAATCCCAGCACTCAGGAGATAGAGGCAGAGGCAGGCAGAACTCTGTGAGTTCGAGGCCAGCCTGGTCTATGAGAGCTAGTTTTGGTTGCAGGGTTTTTTCCTGCTCTTTGTCCAGTTTCATCTGTCAGTGCGAGTGTGACAGATTTCCACCAGCACTCTGTCCTGCTATGTCCCCATGAGTCTTAGCTTCGCCTGATCTTCATAATAATGTTCTTTCTCTCTCTCTGAAATTGCTAATTTTGACTCCTGTCTTTTTTTGTCCTGGGCCATCAAGAAGTTTGTGACACAAACTGGAGGCTGGGATGCTTCAATGTTCCAAGGGGTCTCATATTTCTGAGGGGGAAGACAAGAAGGCGTGGTGATGTGGCCTGGACTTTGTCCATTGGAGCTCCGAGGCTCCTTAACAGAGGCCTTGCCGGAGTCTTCCTGAACTTACCTGTCTTCATTGCTTCTCCACCTGTTTTGTGCTAGGCACCTATGGACCTTGCTTTATTCCACACACCCATGATTCCCCAAGTGTATTATTAATATTCCTATTTTACAGAACAGGCTAGCTGAGTCTAAGATTAAGTGACTTGCTCAACCTCTGTGGCAGAACTGAAACTCAAAGGGGCATGTCAGCTCCGAAGGCAGGGGGCCTTAACTATTGTCTTAGAGTCTTTAGCCTTGTTCCTTAAATTGCAAAGTACATCCAGATTTACCTGGAGACCATACTAAAACACAGTTCTAACTCAATTGGTTTTTAATGGGGTCTGAAGATGCACTTTTTAAATTCCGAGAGTCTCATATCTCCTGAGCTGACTTCCAGCTCACTAAGTAGTAGAGGGTGGCCTCGAAGCTCTCATCTCCCCGACTCAACTTTCCCAAGTTTTAGGGGTACAGATGTGTGCCACCACACTAATTTTGTTTTATGTGTGGGGCTAGGATTGGACCTAAGCCTTAAGGACTGCTACGTTAACTGAGTTAACATCCTCAGCCCTAAAAATGTGTTCCAAGAAGCGCTCTGGTGATGTCCGTGCTGCAAGACCTCAGTTCACACTTTAGCAAACTTGAGCTCACTGGCTATTTGCACACAGCCATCTATCCTTCAGCTCAATTTAGCTTGGATTTTTTTCAATCAAAAGATGAATGATATACCTACAAAATCACTCCCTAACCTAAGGCTCAGGGAACATTGTGGAAGAGAGGGAGGAAAGACTGTAAGAGTCAGAGGACCAGGGAGTTGACTATGTGATCGTGTCTTCTAATAAAGTCAGCCAGAAGCTACACCCATAAAATCTCTCCAATATGACTGCCCAAGCATGAGCTGAACAAGGAAGAAACTGATTTGTGCGGGTGGATGGGGAGAGCCCACAGACTCGTCCTAGACAAAGCCGGCAACTAAGGAATGCCGAGAGATGGAGAAAGTCTTCCTCAGGAAAGAGCACACACAATTGGTTATTCAATACCAAATAGTCAGCCCTTAATAGCATACAGGTAACATCATACAAACTGAGCAGGTTGTACTTACGTATTTAGGAATATGTATGTATATACTTATATGCACGTAACAGTTAATGAGTATGAGAGAGAGCCATGAGGGCTTGGGGTGACAAAGGGGAAGGTGAAAATGATGCAATTATGATCTCAAAAGATAAAAGTAAAGTAATGACGAAGGAAATTTGGGGTCATTTCAGGAGGAAGAAGGTAGAGAAGCCGAGGCTTAGGGAGGTCAGGCAGGGTGTTCTTGTTGGATACCTACTGTAGGATGGTGGCCGGTTCCCTTGAGTTTGACTGGGAGGCTTGGAGCTCTCGATGACGGCTTCCTCACAGTCCCGACAGCACAAACAGAATATCTTCGAGGCCAGGTTTTGGTAGGTTGCTGTAGGAGGTAAACAAATGGGGACGATGTATTCTTGGATCTGAATTCATGTATTTGTTAGAAATTGTCTGTGACTCCCTGTGGTCAGGAAGTTCATGTTGGTTCTTTCTAAGCTGCTGCTGCTGCCAGTGTGTGTGTGTGTGTGTGTGTGTGTGTGTGTGTATACACGTGTTCATGTGTGTATGGGGGGGCCAGAGGGCAACATCAGGTATCTGTATCAACCATTCCCCACCTCAACTTTTTGAGATAGGGTCTCTCAGTGGACCTGGAACTTGCCTCTTGGACAGAATGGCTACTCCTGGAATCTCTCTGTCTTTGTATCCCCAGTGCTGGGGTTAAGAGACACATTGCTCCACTTTTCATGACGGATCTGGGGTCCAGACTCAGGTCCTTCAGCTTCCATGACAAGTGCTTTACTGCCCGAGCTGTCCCCCCAACCCAGAAGCCCTCATTTAAGGACATTTTTTCCTATTTTATACAAAATTCCCTTACCCATAGAGAGGAATTGAAGACTTTACTCTGCCAGCTTTGTTTGCAGTGGACTCACTGGTGTTAATTTGTGCTCAGTTCACCAAGCAGGGTTGTTTCCTAGATGAACAAGACCATAGCTGAAAAGTGTTACTCCTTCATCTGTGTCTGCGCTCTAGTCAGGACCTGCTGCAGCGGAATCCTACAGGCCACTGGGGAGCAGGTTTCAGATAGCTCTGTGGTCTTCCCCATTTCTAGGGACATGTCCTTGGATTTTTCTTTAGCCTTCTAGAGCCTCACTCTTACTACATGGAAAACAGGAATAGTGGTGCCCATTTTACAGAAGCAAAGTGTTAACTATATGCAGGGTGACTCCATGGCGGTAGGTATGCAGGAAGTGCTGAGCCCACGGTCATTTCCTTTCCTTCCTCTGATTTCCTCTTCATAGTTCATTGCCCCTAAGTTAATCCACCTCCCTGGTACCACAATAACATGGTGAGGAAGTGTATAGACCTGTAGGTTTAATTCCTGCTGTGAACATTCGCCATATGGCTTTGGGTAAGTCCCTCAATGGTAAGGGGAAGTTAACCTGGGAGGTTCCTCCAAAAATCTTTCATGTGTCAATGGCACAAGAGTATAAAGTTTTGTTTTAGTCTCAACTTCTTTTATATGTCAACTTTTAAACCTTTAGATATGTTCCATCCATGTTCTGTGTCAAAAATTCCTTTTAAGATTAGTTGTCTGTCATCACAACCAATTCACCATGTGAGGTGACCTTCTCGCTGGCACTTGTTTCTTTTGTTAACTGCTGTACTGGTCCGAGCTGCTAACATCTCCTGCATGGGTTATTTCAATAGTCTCTTAGCTGGTCTCCCTGTTTTTTCTACCAATAATGATTCATGCAAAAGCTAGGATTCCCATGGTAATATGTATTATGTCACACTTTTGGTCAGTGTCTCTGGTGGCAGAAAGAAATGGATATAGTAGATGAAGAAATATAGTGTTGAGGAAAGAAATGGTAATTCTGGAATACTAGAGATTCTAGTTATAGAAAACAGCAGTTGGAGCCCAAGAGATGAATCAGTGGGTAAAAGCACTTTTTCCACCCGACAGTCTGAGTTCCATCCCCAGGACCCACATGGAAGAAGAAAACCAATGCCCATAAGCTGTCCTCTGATTTGTATGTACATATCTGTGTGTACCCGTGTGTATGTACACACACACACACACACACACCCCAGCATCTGAAAGGAAAATATAGAGAATGATCAACAATAAACTTGACAGTAGATGATATAGTGAATCCGAGGGAACAGAAAGGAAATAGAAGTTGTACACATAGAAGTAGAGAATGAAAAAGTGTTTAAAAGATTGAGAAGAGGCATTGGTCTGGGACATCAAAGGGAACAGGCAGGAACCTGGAACCTCTGTGGGTCCGAGGGTGCATCTGGGACCTCTGAGGGAATAAGCAGGTCCTCTGTGGGTCTGGGCGCACCCGAACCTGGGACTACGGGAATTGCAGCCCTGAGTTACATTTCCCTGCCCCCATTTGAGGTGCTTATCTGCAAAGAAAACATAATAACTTCCCTCTGCTCCTGGAGTTGGGAAAGGAAGTTTGAGTGCATGGTGATCATTCCTTGACCCCTGCAGTCCCGTCCCATTTGGTGCCATGGTATAAAAGCTAGCCCCAGCAGAACAATAAAGAAGCTGTTCCACCTCAACCTCGTGCTCTGTAAATTCATTCAACCTGGACACCCTCCGCCGAGACTCTTGGTTCCAGCCCATGCTGGTGCGGTATGGGATCTCTGAGGCAGTAGACCAGAGCCAGAAACCTTTTCAGGTACAACTTCAACCCAGGGACTTCTGCAGGAGGGAATCCAGACCAGGATTTACAGATACAGGTCAAAGCAGGTAACCTAGGCCACATTTGCCCCAAGGTAAGGAACTCCACCTCAGGCAACAAATTCCACAGGAGTGGCTCTGAACAGGCTACCTCGGACAGAGAGGGCCTGAGGAAACAAGCTCCACAGGGAGCAGAAGCCAGGAGCAAATTCAGTCACAGGAGCCAGTCCAGTCCCGGGACACTGGAGGATCAGGATTGAGCCAGCTATCAGATCCAGAGTCAGTGATCTCTATCAGAACAGGCTCAACTCCAAGCCGGGGACTTCTGCAGGAGGGGATTCAGACCAGGATTTACAGAAATGGGTAAAACCAGCAGCCTAGGCCAAAGTAGGCCTTCCACAGCAAACTGCAAGTGAGCAGAGCAAAGCACAGGAACACTGAGCTATCTCCAGGAACAGGAGTAACCAACAGGGTAACTAGAACTGTGACGCTGACTGTACCATGAGGAACAACAATCTGAGCTTAGGATTCACTGGCACCTAGAAGATTATTCAACAGAATCTCAGACAGCCCCAACCACACCTATTAGAGGAAAAGATGAATAGAAAAGGTAAGATCACATGTTACACCACAAAGAGTAAACCAACACCAGTAAAACCTAAAGACCCTACAAAAGCGAGACCTGAACAACAAAATATGGATGAACCAGAAGAAAATGACCTAAAAAATACCTTCAAGAGAATGTTTGAAATTCTTAAAGATGAAATGAGAAATTCCCTTAAAGAAATTGAGGAAAAGACAAACAAAAAATTGGAAGATATCAGTAAATCACTTAAAGAAAACCAAGAAAAAGGAATCAAACGTGAAAGAAACTATTCAGGACTTGAAAACTGAAATAGAAACATGTTATGAGTCTGTAAGGACAAACAAATCAAGAAGTATTAGAAGGCAATATTAAGTGAAATGTTATGAGCCTGTAAGGACAAACAAGTCCAGAAGTTTTAAGAGGCAATATTAAGTGGCACACAAAATGAAACTAAAAAGTATGAAGCAATGTGTGCAGTGGTGATAAGAGTTTGAGCTGAATGAACAAGTGTGATGTAACTATATGATAAGCAGACATGTGTGCTAATCTAGAAGTAAGAAGGTAAAGCCACCAGAAACAGTATAAAAACTTGAGGCTCATGGCCAGAAGACATTCTCAAAATGACTTGCTAGACACACTGTCAGAGCGGTCATAGAGAATCCAACGAACCAGCAACTTGACAGCTGAGACCTTCCAAGAGCCAGAGAACTAGCTCTTACCTGCGGATCAAGCCTTGCTGATCCAGAGGTCTACGTTGAGAGCTACAAACCATTATCAGGTCGTATACACCAATGCCTCAGTAAGATAGGGTAGAAGACCTTGCCTAGGGCATATAATCCTTGCTGAATGTGTGATGTGATTGATTGGCTAAGTAAGGAGTGTTATAGTTTTGATGTTTGCTTATATCTGCCATAGGAATAATTAGAGATTTAAATAACTGTTATAGTTTTGATGTTTGCTTATATCTATCTGCTATAGTAACAATTGGAGATTTGACTATTGGCATAATAAACTTGTTCCTAGAATAAAAACTGTGGTCATCCTGAGTATTTGCTTGCAGACCTCGAAGTAAGGGCAGAATGCCCGCTCAGGAATAGGGCTCGCGACAAATCAATAAAGAAAACACAAGCCAAAGGAATTATAGAAACAGAAATTATGAGAAAAAGATCAGAAACCACAAATGCAAGCATGAACAGCAGAATACAAGAGATGGAAGAGAAAATCTCAAGCTCTGAAGATACAATAGAAGAAATAGACTCATCAGTTAAAGAAAACATTAAATCTAACAAAAGCTTAACCCAAAATATCTAGGAAACATGGGACACCATTAAAAGGCCAAATCTTAGAATAATAGGTATAGAAGAAAAAGAATTTGTCCAACTATAAGGCACAGAAAATTTATTTAACAAAATTGTAGAAGAAAACTTTCCCTACTTAAAGAAATATATGAAGATACAAGAAGCTTACAGAACACCAAATAGACTGGATCAAAAAAAAAAAAAGTCCTTTCGCCACATAATAATCAAAACACTAAATATACATGGTGCGGGAGAATTATCTGTATTCTGTCAATCATATTTTAATAAAACGCTGATTGGCCAGGCAGGCAGTATAGGCGGGAAAGCCAGACAGGAAGTAGGGGTGGAGCAAAGAGACTGGGAGTATTCTGGAAGCAGAAGCTCTCTCTCAGCCATTCCTGTACAGACCACCGAAGAGGCAGCATGTAACTTGCCCAGCAGAGAAAGGTACGGAGCCATTATGGCTAACATAGATGAGAATAATGGGTTAATATAAGTTATAAGAGTTAACAAGAAGCCTGACCTAATGAGCCAATCAGTTTATAACCTTATGGAGTCTTGTGTGTGATTTTCTTTGTTGCTTGCCGGCTGTTGGGGTACTGGGAGGGACAGAAACCCCAACAAGCCAGCCCTCATACTACATATACAGAGTAAAGAAAGAATATTAAGAGCTGCAAAGGAAAAAGGCCAAGTAACATATAAAGGTATCAGAATTACACCTGAATTCTCATTGGAAACAGTGAAAGCCAGAAGGTCATGGTCAAGCGTTATGCAGACATTAGGAGACCACGGATGCCAGCCCAGACTACTATCCCCAGCAAAACTGTTGATCACTATAGAAAGACAAAACAAGATATTCCATGACAAATCTATATTTAACTAATACCTAGCCACAAACCCAGCCCTACACAAAATACTAGAAGGAAAACTCCAACCCAAGCAAGATGGCTACACCAATAAAAACACAGACAATTGATGATCTCATAACAGCAAAATCCAAAGAAGAAAAAAAATGCACAAATTAACACCACCAATGATGAAAATTAAATTAATAGGAGATAGCAATAACTGGTCATTAATATCCCTTAATGTAAATGGATTCAACTCACTCATAAAAAGACACAGGCTAAAAGATTGGATACGAAAACAGAATCCATCCTTCTTTTGCATACAAAAAACACATCTCAACCTCAAAAATAGACATCGTCTCAGAGTAAAGGGTTGGGAAAAAATATACCAACCGAATGGAGCTAAGAAACAAGCATGATATCCTAATATCTAACAAGTTAGACTTCAAGCTAAAATCAGTCAAAAGAGACAAAGAAGTTCATTTCATATTAATCACGGGAAAAATCCATCAAGAGAAAATTTCAGTACTGAACATCTATGCCCCA